GTTCAGCAAAATACTGCATGTTTTTTCTTTACATTTTCTTTGAATCAGATTTGATCCTTATTGTTATTGCATCTAGGAAACACCAAGAATTCAAGACTTTAAAGAAAATTGCTAAAAAGCAAGACTTTAAAATGCTTACAGTCTTCCTATACAATAATGTAACTTGTTTAGAAATACAGATTATTTTTAAGGTGCTGTCCTCTATTTCTGTGCAGAAGATAAATCTTGGATGTATGCTCAATAAATTGACTCTTTCAGATCAATGTTATGGACAATTTTTGAACAGGATGTATTTCTTTACAAAAATTGGAAATCTGTGAAATACGGAAGAATACCAATTCTGGTAATATGCTTCACTCAGTTCTCTTTACTCTCCAAAGTGTACGCACCCTTAAACTAAAGGAGTAATAGATAAATATATGGTATGGGATTACAGATTGTTCAAGTATAAACATGAAACATACTTCTAATATTATTCTCATAATTACTTTTCCTTGATTATTTTCATCTACTCTACATCTTTTTGTCATGTGCATGTCACCAACCCGCCACCCCCCAAAAAAAATCCAATACATTCAGCATTACTTCTAGCTAAACTTTCTTAAGCTTGGCCAAAACAAGCTGAGCTGTCGAGCTGGAATACCTTGATTCTTATCCTTTGTGTTAGCAGCTGTTTTGCTCAAGACATTTCCCCTTTTGAAAGATCTGATGAGCCAGAACTAAGATGAGCCAGAACTAAGTTGTGGTCAAACACTACTGCCCGGTTGTTCCTTGGCACAGTTGCAGAATTGTCTTTATTTGCCCTGGAGCCTCCATCCAGCATCCTGCTTTTCCTCACTGCAATTCTTAAACTTTTTCTTCATCTTTTTATTTTCTTTACTTACTACATCTGAATTATGAAACTGCTTAGATTTGTGAAAAGAGAGGACCAAAACACTTGTCCTAAGTAGTGTGGCTGCAAAGACCATTTGTTAGACCTCAGCTTTGTCCTCATTTCCAAAGACTATTCCCCATCCCTTCACTGACTGTTGGTGAATTTAGGCTTTTCTGTGTGCTACCCTGTTACATTGGAGAATCTCTCTCTCTTTCAAAAAAAAAAGAAACTTCAGATCCTTCTAAAATTCAAATACACCAGCAAACTGTACCTTCTCATATAAGCTTTTCCACAGAGAAAATTTTATTATTACATGTTAAGTTCTAGTTTGCTGAAGACCCAAGACTTCTTTTGCCTAGAACAAAGAGCCCCATATCTGTATTTTTTTAAGTATTTCCTGAGCTGCCACCATGGTGTGACTTAGGCTGTGGAGTGTGTCTCAGATCCCTGCATTATAAAAGTTCAGTGTATGATGTTAGTACAGTGATGGTAATTTCTTTGTTGCTTGTGTTGAAATTTATAAAGGAAGCCAATCTTTAGAATGTCATGTACCCTTGTGTAAAGCCGCAAGAAATCCGAGTCTTCATTTGTTTCCCAATTACTTCTGGAAAGACTATTTAAGGCATACCATAAGGGAGTAAAATATGTTACAAAGTTGCTTACATGTTTAATCATTTTTTTTACCAGTTTGTTAGACTCTTTAATGATGAACATTCCTTTTAATTGTTCTAACTTCAAGAAGGATGTTTGTCTTACCATGTACTCATGTTTTACTGATTTTGGAAGTTACAAATATCTGTCACTTAAGGTATTGGTTTTGCAGAGAGTCATTTTCTCTCTTAGATATTCACAAAAGACTAAAAAGGAATTTTGACATATATATTCTTTGATAATCCTTGAAACAGCTACAAGCCTGAATGTTTGCTCACTTTTGTTATCCTAAGTCAATATCTAATGCCACCAAAGCCTTGTACTCAGGTGAGGGTGGCAACCAGTAATTTCTTTCTTAAGTCCAGGAGGCTTTTAAACATAAACTGTTAAACTTTGAGGACTGATAATGCATCTAGAGCGTAAAACCGTCTGTAAAGCTGTGAATTTCATAGTGAATGAATGCATCCTCTTTAAACTCAAGTGTGAGGCATCTTCTTTGGGAGAAATGCTTCAGTGCTTGTGTAATAAATGTTGTCAATGGAATTACTTTTCAAAATAATCTCATTTTCTCACAATGTTTTCTGGGTGATATTACAGATTGATAGATATCTTTTCAGTTCCTTCAGTTTGGGATTTTTTAAAAGCATTGTTTTATGTGAAGAATTAAATGAAAGCCTGGAAATGGAATTTGTCGTTTCTCTCCAGTTGGTGCTGCTGCTCTTGAAAGTACAGTCTTGCCACTGACCTGGATTGGGCTATGAGGAAACCCCCTTGCATTACCAATACCAAACTTTTGCAGTCAGGTGGAATGTAATTACTAGTAATGGTCCTGTGTCCATTTCACGTCCTTATTTGTGGAGAGCCATGGACTTTAACAAATGTAAATCCCTTTGAATAGTTTTGAATGCCGCCTCAGGAGAAGAATTGAAGCCAGAAAGCTAAGGGGAGAGGCTGGTTCATCATTCTTCACACACATACATACTTAATACAGTGTCATTGCTGTAAGTCTGTACATAGGCAAGGATCAGTACACTATGTGAGTGTAGAGTATTTTACCAATCCAGTGTTTGGGCATGAATTTCTGCCCCCAAAGAGTGGCAAGATGGAATAATAAACCTCAGAGCAAAAGGTCCCCTGGGCTATGTTGGTGATGAATTGGTATATATGTTTTGTCTTATTAAAAGATTGTATTTTTAAAAGATGTGCAGCATCTGATATGAGCTGCAAATTGCCTTATAAAATTAACAATGACATTTAGTAGAAGGATTAGTCAGTACCCATTTTAGTCCAACGAATAAACAGGGATTTTTTGTTGGATTTAGAGGGGTTTTTATATAGGATTGTGCGGGAGGCTAGAATTCTGGTTAAAATGTTCTGTGCTCAGTATAAGCTATTAATGACATCTGATTTTTCTAGGTGTTGCTGAAGGTGTTGTATCAATACAAGGAGAAGCAGTACATGGCTCCTAGAGTTCTGCAGCAAACACTGAATTACATCAATCAAGGTGTGTCACATGCAGTCACCTGGAAGAATCTGAAACCTCATATTCAAGTAAGCTGTTTTCAGGGTTTAATACTTAGATGACTGAGTAGTACATTAGTCAGTCTGTTGTATGGTGTTCCTAGCCTTGCTGGAATTCAAGTTTTAGGGACTTCTGTTATAAATTGCTGGTGGAAAGAGTTTAAGCCTGTTTGGTGAAGATTACCTTGATACTTGAGCAAAGCTAGCTAATTGATTTTTTTGGTGTCAATCCTTTGTGCTTTAATATATTAAGGATTACAGTGTAATACAGCAACACAACAAATTTGGAGATGGCGTTAACTACTGAATTTATGGCATTGAATCACTTTCACATACCATTATCTAAAGCAAATCTAATAGCTTGTGCTGTATTGTAGGTCTACCTTAAGTTAAAAAATCTCTTTTTTTGTACACGTAAAAAAATCCACTATGTCCAAAAAGTTTTAGAATGTTAGTATTTTGTATGAGGAGTGACAGGATGGACAAAATCTGTGACATACAGGACAGAATACAGAGATTTATTTAGGAATGCCACCCTGTTTTCAACTTTTTTTTTTTATTGCAGGGAATTATCCAAGATGTTATTTTTCCATTGATGTGCTATACAGATGCTGATGAAGAGCTTTGGCAAGAAGACCCGTATGAATATATTCGCATGAAATTTGGTGAGTATTTGAAATCTACTCATGTTAAAATATGACTTCACACAAAGACAGGACTTTGACATTTTTTTAATGAAAATAGAGATGGCTTTAATCTTTAAAAAAAAGAGAGAAAACCAGTTTGTATTATCAAAATAATGTAACTTCATATAGTTAACTTTTGGATATACTGGTGGAAATGACAGATAATGTGACAGCAATGACACAGGTGTTTCTACACTTGAAAAAGTAACTAATTTTGACAGTTACAAAGTTTTTGTTAAAGTCAAACAGTCTGGGTCTTGCTAACAATAATTACCTAAGTTTAATGTTATTAAAAGTGCTTTACAACAGCTAGTATTTCAGGCCCCAGAGTTTTTACAATCTTAAGGAATTTCACACGTGGCATAGTTCAGAACAGATTGACCATAACAGTAAATGAAACGTTATGAAGCAAGCCTGGCATTCCAGACTTGTCTCATTTCACCTTCATGCTTTGTTGTTCGGGTTTACTCTAAGCCTGTGCAGTCCTTTCAGGCTGGGGAAGAAGGAAGATACTGCAGACTTCCTGAACAAATTCTTCCCCCCACTAGGACTTTTATGTGGCTAGAACAAGGAATCTTGATGTGTTTGGGAGTTTCTTATCCCTCAGGTCAGAGGCAGACCTGTAAACAGTACAGGTATTATACAAGGTCTGATAATTCTCTTCTGCAGAGAAATAAGAAACTTAGCTTTTTTTAACTCAATCAATTATGTGTGTGCCTGTATGGCAAGTAACATATATGTCAGAAATTGACCACTGTGTCTGCTTCTACTGTTACAGAAGATTTATCTTAAAAATAAGGAAGACATATAATTTCAAATTAGACATGCAGAGCCATTGATCATGAAAAAGGTGAAACATAAGTATTGGGCATCTCCAACCATGTCTTCTTGTTGTTTGGTCTTGGAATATCTGTAGTAAGAAAGCATGATTAACCACCACCTAAAAAAAAAGAGAAAATTGTTGCTCTTTTGTTTCATACTAAATCATTAGATTACATTAGGATCATGAACTGTGGTAAAGGACCAAAACTTACAGCTGTTACATGTTTACTTAATAGATGTATTTGAAGATTTCATTTCTCCAACAACTGCTGCTCAGACATTATTGTTTACATCATGTAGTAAAAGGAAAGAGGTAAGCTATTCAAGGATTTTACTTAAATACAACGTTAGCTAGGTTTAGTTTATAGTCTCCATTTGCTGAAAGAATAAAAGTTTTACTTTTCTGCTGTCATATCATAGTACACTAAAATTCATCAGTTCTCTCAAATTTATTTTGCACTGGTCTATTTGTGATTATTATATTTCCCTGTTCCCCTAGGACCTATCTATCAAGGATGTTGTGTGTTTATAACAAAAACATAAACCATATTCAAATTCCAGACTTGGAGCAGATTATTAGAAATTTAAGCATTTCAGAGCACTGAGAATGGCATCTGAGACGATTGAATTACTTTGACTAACCTTACATGTAATCTAGGTCTTGCAGAAGACAATGGGCTTTTGTTATCAGATCCTTACGGAGCCAAATGCTGACCCTCGTAAGAAAGATGGTGCTTTACATATGATTGGCTCTTTGGCTGAAATTCTCCTAAAAGTAAGCATAACAGATCTGGTGGTTCTTTTGGTCCTTTTTTTTTCCTCCTTTCCATTCTTTCACATATAGTGTCTTAGAAGAAATGAGAATAGCTCTTTGAGTTTACAAGGTTTTGAATCACTGGTAGCAAAAAAGATACAGGGCATGGACTTGTATTTGGACCATGGCTCTGAGAAGTCTCCCTGACCACTTTTGATACCAGAGTAATGCATTGCCAAGCAAAAGGTCTATCTAGGGGTCAAAAATGACAGGGGAAAAAAAGTGTCACTGTTTTCACTGAAAATTATAAAAGTCCACGTAGGATCAAAGTTTAATTACTCATATGGGATTTCATTGTTGCTTAATGGACTTAAAGGGGGAAGTTAAAAGTCTGAGAGTTTTGTTATACTGTTCGCACTTTTATATATGACTTTTTTTTACTGGATTAGAAATGCATTTTTATGTATAGTTTTAAACTGGTGTGTTTCTATTCATATTCTGACAGAAGAAGATATATAAAGATCAGATGGAATATATGTTGCAGAATCATGTGTTCCCTCTGTTCAGCAGTGAGCTTGGTTACATGAGAGCACGGGTAAGAAAGTGTAAGATTTACTGTTAAGCTGCACTGTCTGTTTCAGCTGAAGAGTTCAAGAATATTCTTTAAATTTTTCCCTCTAACAAATGCACTGCTTTCTGCACCTTTTCTGCAATAAATTGTATCCTTATTTCGGAGATTAGCGTCAGTCTTTATGTGTGACTAGCTATAGCTACCATGTAGTTTTTAAATGGCTGCAGAATTGTGTGCATAGTTTTCCATCTGTGTCTGGTAGCATGGTCTATTTGTGTTTTGCATTTAGACTGTACTGCTCACACAAAACCTGTGGCCAAAGATGAACTTGAGATCATAGTACTGGTCTAGTGATGTCTGAAAGACAAGCCTCCCACTGGCCAGCCTCCACACTCTCAAACATCTTCATCTGTTAAAAAGTTTTACAGCATCTTTATTCAACAGTAGTTATACTTCAGATTTAATTATTTGTGTAGGTTATGGTTATGTGAGTAGTCTATAATCCTGTTTGTAGGTCTTGTAACTCTGAATTTGTTCAATGTCTTTTTTTCAGGCTTGTTGGGTTCTTCATTATTTTTGTGAAGTCAAATTTAAGAGTGACCAGAATCTCCAGACAGCCTTAGAACTCACAAGACGGTGTCTGATAGATGATAGGGAAATGCCTGTGAAAGTGGAAGCTGCGATAGCACTTCAAGTTCTGATCAGTAATCAAGAGAAAGGTAGCCTTCTTTTCTTAAAGCTACAGCAAACTTTAATGGAATAGGCAATATTGTGATGTTCAAGGAGACTTGTTCTTTTCTTCTTTCCTGATGTTAATTTACTTCTTGCAGTTGTAATTTGTAATCGCTTACTGTAATTTTCCAGATGGAAAATTTTGTATTCTTTTATAAATAAATTATCACAATTTTATGGTACGGTAAATCCAGTTTTACAGCACCTAATAATTGAATCAGAAATACAGTGGCAATGTAAGAATATCTGTCTCAGCATACATTCATGCACGTTCAAGTTTATTTTTTAAAAAAAGTTGTCTTTATTCCGACAGGCTTTACATTGCTTAGTATTCCCAAAGCTGGCCTAAAAGCCACAAAGCAAACATAAATTCTATATCAAATACTTTGGCTAATTTCACAAAAATGGCTGTGTACCCATTCCTGTTCAATTAAAATTTGCATTGATAAGTAATCTTGCATTCCATAAAGACTGTAGAACTCTGTTTTTCATACTTCAGTCATGATCCTCTTGGTATACATTGTTATTGAAAAATTGTTCTGAATGTTAGTATTGCTGTAATGATTTATGCTACCCGTGTTTTTGGCATATTAATGCCGAAGCACTAAATATTAATAAAGTATATATTGACTTTCTTATTTCCACTTGTTTTACAGCTAAAGAATATATTACTCCATTCATTAGACCTGTAATGCAAGCTTTACTTCATATTATAAGAGAGACTGAAAATGATGATCTTACTAATGTGATTCAGAAGATGATCTGTGAATATAGTGAAGAAGTTACCCCAATTGCAGTAGAAATGACACAGCATTTGGTAAGACTTTCTGGTGACTTTGGAAGATGTTTAATATGTGAAAGATTGGTATTTAAAATTAAGATACTTGTCTGTCAATCAATAGCTGTTGTTACTCCAGTCTAAGTGCATTGATACAAGTAATTTTCTTCTACATTTAGCCTATTCTTTCTCAAAAATGGCTTCATAACTTGAACTAGATGGAAATTTCTAAGAATGATTGTAGAAATGTTTGAGAAATCTTTATACGTATTTTCTCCTGATACTGTTAATAATGAATTTTGGTAGCACATTTTAAGTAGTCTCCACAATGTGACTGAGGTTTTCTGTTTCAAAATGGGAAATTGAAGAGCAGATTTTTAATAAAAAATTTGGTGTGGAAATAATTTTGTTGTACATAATGTGCAAATAAAATTGAGTCTGCAGGAGAAATTCAGAACTTGAATGGCCGTATGTAGCAAGTTGTACTTCTTGTTTCAAAAGCAGAGGTCAACTCAGTGCTTCCCTGTTAAAGGCCCTTGCCTTGGAGTTAAAACTAAATTGTTTGCACGTCCTCTCTGGGAGTGCCTGTGAAGTGGTCCAGTCTAGTTCAGCTACCAGTTAGACCTTGTGTCAGAAATTTATTTGTAGAAAATGTATTCTTTTGCAGGGAAAGTAATTTAATTTATATCTCTTTATTAATGAATGGATAAAGGATCACAGCTCAAATGGCTTAACATTCAAATTTTATCAATCTTGAAAGCAAACTCTGGAATGGAGCAGTCACCTTCTAATATTCATGCCTGTTCTCTTAGCAGAAGTCCTCCTTAAATTGTGTAGAATACCAGACTTGCACAATTGTTCTTCGTCTCCAAGCATGTCCTCATTAAATTACATATTTATGGATTGTTTTTGCTATTACACGCAGGCAATGACATTTAACCAGGTGATCCAAACTGGACCAGATGAAGAGGGCAGTGATGACAAAGCAGTGACAGCAATGGGCATCTTGAATACTATTGATACACTTCTCAGTGTAGTTGAAGATCACAAGGAAGTAAGTAAAAATTACTTTAAAGCTAACATGTATTGTCTAAGACAGTGAAAGTCTTTTGTACTTCCAGTGTTCTTGACATTGTTATCTGAAAAACTGTCCATTCAGCCAAAAATATTTTAAAACAGAAAATGGTGACTTACTTATCATGTAACAAAGTTGTAACAGTGTGGGTCACATTTCTAACACAATGTGTGTAGTACTGTAACATAAATATTGCCACAGTATTTCCCATAAGAATCCAGGATCTTGTTCAAAGGGGTGAAAGTAACTGTCTGTAACAGATGGAACCCTGTCACTTAGCTGGAAAAACCCATCAGATTTGATGAGGTCTGTCTGCTCTTCAGAGAAAATAGATAAAACTTCAGTTAGCTTTGAACATTGACTCTGCTGACTTAGTTTGCTCTCTGCACCAGAATCGATGTCGGTAAATACAGCTGTGTGGCTGTGCTAAATGATAGTTTTGTTTACCTGCCTAATCTGCACTGTAGAATTCTCCAGTGTGATGAAAATTTTTATTTAGTTTTGTTGTACTGAATGGAGTTACTTCTGTCCAGAGTACAGCTTCTTCAAAAGATGCTATTGCCAATTAAAATCCTTCTTGACAAAGTCAGCTATGTAGTTTTTTAGTGACTAAATAATTCAGTAATAAATTGTACTCTCAAGGGCTCTGAAGACTTTACTAAGGAAGCAGAATAGTACGAATTCTGAATGCTTAAGGCTGGAATCCGGTGCTACCATGCCATAAACCAAGGACCAGTTCAGCTCATTTCCTTGTTGCTGAAGCTGCTCAACAAGGTTTTCGTGTACTTGCTTTTGTCGGCAAATTCTTACTATCTAAATGAAAGGTTTGTGGAATAATATGCTAGTCCTGAGGAACTCAAGCGTAAAGCATTGATCAGTGAACATTTGTATTGAGAAACATCTCACACAGGATGACCAGCGTTCCAAGAGATAAGGTATTTAGCTGGTTAGTTTCAAATCCTGTGCTACATAGCTAAGACCAGAAACTCAACCCTTATTTGTCCCTGTGCAACGTAAGTGCCCTAAACAGGTTAACGACTGTTTTGTTAGCTGTTCCATGGTCTAATAAGTACTAATTGGGAACAATGTTTGATTCTGTAGATCAGCCTTTAGACTGATTGCCCACATACCATATGAGCATGCTAAGCTAGGTTTCAGAGGTGGTTTGGTACTTGTTTGGTTTGGTTGTTTTTTGTTTGGTTTGTTTTTGTTTGGTTGGTTTTTTAAATTTCACTTTTCCAGAACAGCAAATACTTCCTGCAACTTCCATTGCTTACCCCTATGATATATACATTTACTTAGTGTGTTTTAATGGGACTGAACTGTTCCATAGGATTACTGTCAGGCTTTTCTTTTTAAAGGACACCCTATGAGATTCTTCCAATATTGAAAGAATATTCCAGAAACACCTTGTATTAAAAGCTATCTTACAAATCCTTAGCTATGACTGCTGCTCTTACACATTTTGTGCTCTAAAATGTGAGAAATTCTGAATTGTTTTTAGAAGACTATATTGTATAAATAGAAATTGCTTTGAGTAATTTTATTTTAAAATGTGTTTAATTTCAAGTCCAAAGTATTGAAAATAGTCAAAAATCTCCTTTTTTCAGATTACCCAGCAGCTGGAAGGGATCTGTTTGCAAGTGATTGGAACAGTTTTGCAGCAGCATGTGTTAGGTACCTGTGTTTTTGTTGGCTTATTTTTTTAAGTGTATGGGAACGGCATTAAATTTACCTAGATTCTGTTTGTTTTAGAGTTCTATGAGGAGATCTTTTCCTTGGCTCATAGTCTGACCTGTCAACAAGTTTCTGCACAAATGTGGCAGCTTCTTCCTCTTGTTTTTTAAGTCTTTCAGCTTTTTATTATTTTACTGGTAAGTAATACAGATAAATCAGAAAGCCAAATGGTTTCATATGCAACCATACAATGAATTGCATCTTGATTGAAATGTTAGGAGAGCACTGAAGAGAAGTTACACTTGAAGTATTTTATTCTGCTGTTGCTGCAACTAGACTTGTTTTGCTAAGGCATCAGTAGCTAGATAGATGCCTATCTTGACAAATGTTAAGCAAGAACTGTAATTAACTTATTAATACATAGATTTCAACCTGATTTGAACAGCTCATCTAATAAAACATGCAAACAGTATCTAACTGTGATCATTCTTCTTTTAATACAGACATGATGCCTCTCTTGCATAATTATGTTACTGTTGATACAGATACGCTTCTGTCAGACACAAAATATCTTGAAATGATCTACAGTATGTGCAAGAAGGTAAGTAGATGCCTTTGTGATAACAAAACCTGTGATGTCTGAAGTAATACACTGTTAAACTGGGTACTTTTTTCCACAGCAGCAGACTGTGAAACTGAAGAATTTTGACATCTGCTTTTAAAGCATTACGCTATTTAACATCCTCTGTGATTCCACAAATTAAGTGATTGCAGAGAAATTTAAAGAGGTTACATCAAATTTCAGATATATGCTTTTGCTAAAAGGGAAAATAAATGATACACAATAAAAGCAGATCAAACAACCCAGGTTTTTGCCCGCGCGAGTTAATACATTTTGTGCATATAGGCATGCAAAACATGTATGCGTATTGCAAAAGGTAGAGGGTTTCTTTTATCTGAGATCTGTAGCCTCACTGTGGCTAGGATACCACATACCATATGTATGCTAAAGGTCTTAAATCTATTAGCTAAAAAAAGTAGAGCAGGGATGGAAAGTAGAGGGATAGAAATATTTTCCCCAAGTTCATGCCAAGTCAGTGATGAAAGCCAGGAGCAGAATGCAATTGTTCTGACTCAGTCCAGTCACTTGTCTGTATTTAACTTAGCTTCTCTGCTCCTGTGTATTACAGGTAGCTGCCAACGGGGCTGTCTTTATCCAATCGATATGTAGAATACAAAGCTTTCCAGAATATTATATTCTTTATAAGATGGTGTTAATATTTTATAATTTCTTAATAGTAATCTGTGGGGATTTCAGTTTTCTACTTCTGGATATCATGTGTTGTATCTGTATAAGAACTATGGTGAATTGTCAGCTGCCTTGCCCATGGTGTTTCCTGAGTAATTATTTTGAAGATGTTTAAATATTATAGTGATTAACTCTTGCCAGCCTGTATTTGAAAACAAGTTGCAACCAGGCTGATTGTAAATACTTTTTTGTGTATGGAAGCAAACCTTTGCAAAATGGCAGCTCACGCTTATACAGTTACTGTTGTAAGCTCTGCGTCCATAGAGTTATTGAATATTTGTACACGTAGATTAGTTTTACCCACATTCAGCAATGTTTCAATCTCTAGTTGCGATACTGAGCCCTTGCTGTAGATTTGGCTGCTTCACTGATGGATGTTTATGCTAGCATTGTAATAAGTGGGTAAATTTATATCAGTTTTTCAAAGCAATATATAGAAAATACTTCTTGTAATTGTTATTTTTCAGGTCCTTACAGGAGTCGCTGGAGAAGATGCAGAATGTCATGCAGCAAAGCTGTTAGAAGTAATTATTCTTCAGTGTAAAGGGCGTGGCATTGATCAGGTAGGTAACAACTTTGGTTGCTATATCTAATATTTTTAAAATATTTTATTCTCAAATATGAATTGATAATGTATTAACATGAATTCCATTCTGAGAAGTTGGTGTAGTGTGACTAATTATCCTGTCTTCTACTTCAGTGTTAGTTAACAGTACTGCAGCAAGACTTATTGCATGCTTGGTCTCCAGAATTTAGAGAACACTGCAAAACTCAATGTAAAGTGATTTTGTGGATCTGGAAGAGTACTTTTTAGGAGCACCTTGGTTCTAAAAGTTGATTAATTATATTCTGAGTTAATTCTAGTGAATATTTCCTGAAAATTATTCAATCTGTCAAGTTAATAGCCTTGAAATAAATAAGAATGAAAATGAAGTTCCCGAATCCCAATTAACGTCATAGAGGAACTAGGGACTTCATTACGCACATATGGAAGTTGGAATTTGAAAGATGACTTGTGTGCTTCCACTATGTACATGACAAGCTAATTAAACATTTTTTGCATGCTTTTTAATACCTGTGAATATGGTCGCTGGAAACTTTAATTTTTAATTTATTTGAAAGAAAATCTTCTATAGTGATTTTTTTTTCAGCTTGGCATCTCTGAAGAGACTACTCCTTTGAATAGCTGTTTTCTTAGAATGATAGTAGTATCTCTTGACTTTGTGGATATTAAAAAACCTGAGTTGATTTTTCTGGACTTCCTAATGTACACATTTCCTGTATTTTTCATTTTTTAAAATACAAGATTATGTAACCGGGAATTACATTTACTGCGCATGGTGTCACAAAATCCATGTGCTTGGAGTAGATTAAATCTTTTCGCCTTTTCATTTCATCTTTGTATATGACTTCTGCTGGCATTTAAATATTATTCCCATTTTATGGCCTCTGTATTTATGCGCCAGACTGGGTTTATGCCATTTCTCAGCTTTAGTGTGAAATACAGAGCCACAAAATTTATTTTGATCACTAAATTTGTAATGGTTCTCACTCTTCAGTGCATACCCTTATTTGTGGAAGCTGCATTAGAGAGATTGACCAGAGAAGTGAAGACAAGTGAACTGCGAACAATGTGCCTCCAGGTTGCCATAGCTGCTTTGTATTACAATCCTCATTTACTATTAAATACATTGGAAAATCTTCGTTTTCCCAATAATGTGGAGCCTGTCACTAATCACTTCATAACACAGTGGCTTAATGATGTGGACTGTTTCTTGGGGTAAGTGTTTCTAATTCTGAAGATTATTCTCTGTGATACACCTCTATATTATCTGCTTGTAAATCATAACAACGTTTGTAACTTTTTTTACTCTTTCATTTTGTAGACTTCATGATAGAAAGATGTGCGTGCTTGGCTTGTGTGCTCTTATTGATCTGGAGCAAATACCACAAGTATTAAATCAAGTTGCTGGCCAGATCCTGCCAGCTTTTATTCTTTTATTCAATGGATTGAAAAGAGCATATGCGTGTCATGCAGAGCATGAAAATGACAGCGATGATGATGATGAAGCTGAAGAAGATGAGGAAACAGGTATGGAAACTGAAACATCGCTCTTACTTTGTGTTTTTCATTTGTTTTCTGATGGAGTGGCTGAGTTCCTTTGTGAATTCTTCAGAGTTCCCGAATTCCAAAAATCAAAAGCTGTGGTAGAACACTGAACATACAGTTGAAAGTCATTAAGAGATCTGACTTACTTTCCAAGCTCTCTTAAAAACTAACTTCCTAGGCTGAGTCTCTTCAAAGTCACATCAAGCTAGCTTGTGTGCGTGGATGCTGTCATTACTGAAAGGAATTACTACTGGGGTATGTTTCCTATTTTAGTGAGGGGTAAAAATCAGTAGGAGTTTCCAGGAATCCTTCTAATCCATTGTACAGTTTGGACTATGTATTACAAACTGTCCCATAAGCTGCTGCTGTTTTAGCTGTGTATTGAAAATGACAGTTCTTGTGATTTATTTTTTTTCTGGACTAATGTAATCTCAACATGGTCAGCCTTTATAGAGCACCTTCTTCATATGGTCATTTCACGAACTTTCACATCTTTTGCCATTGTCTCTGTGAAGTTCACAATTACCTACAACTTCCCTGCACTTCTTTATTCCACCTTTCCCTATACTCTGCTTAAGCTTTTAGTTCTTGTTCCCTATTTTTATCTTTCCATCATCAGCTTGGTGTCTTTGTGAGTGATTGTTTGGAACAGTTTTTTCACACCCAAAAGGAGTATCTGTTGGTTTTCATCTATCTACTTAAAGCCCAGTTTCTTTTTGATCTCTGCTGTTGAATTCTGGACTCTCCAGACTATTGTCATTGTATATCACTCATAATATTACATTTTGTATTTCTAGAGCATTCTTTTCAGCAGCCCTTTTGAATGTGGCTTTAAGTGTGTTTCATCAAATTATTTAAAAGTTTCTTTGGAGCACGAATGTTGCTTTGCTTAAAGTTTTAGCAAGTGCTGTTCCAAATGATCTGCATATACATTTTTCTATATACATTTTTGTGACAATAAAATTTTCCTTTCCCACTTACATAGTTGGTGTAAGTGAGGGAAGAGTCAGGGGGGAAGACCATGGTGCTAGGAGAGGAGTTAAATGAGCTGCTCCCTTTCCAGTCTGCACTATACTGTTACCAGTTCCATTGCCTGTTTTGCATAATCAGCCATCTTCCTAAAGAGTTGTTCTTACAATTCTTGAGAGAAACTTTTTTGTGTGTGTGATATTTAACTCAGAGGAATTGGGGAGTGATGAAGATGACATTGATGAAGATGGTCAAGAATATCTAGAAATTCTAGCAAAACAGGCTGGTGAAGATGGAGATGATGAAGACTGGGAAGAAGATGATGCTGAAGAGACTGCTTTGGAAGGTTATTCCACAATTATTGATGATGAAGACAACCCTATTGATGAATATCAGATATTTAAAACCATTTTTCAGAGTAAGTAACTTTAATTTGTTGGCCCAGAAAGGAAATATAGTTTAACTTAATTTTAGTGTATACCATTGTAAACTGGAACCTGTTGAAAGCTTCCAAGCAGGCTTTCCAATTAGTGCTTTGAACAAGTTCTTTCTTTGGAAAGTGGAAGCCATCATTAAACTTTCAAAGCAGGGGGAGAGACTTGAATGAAGTTACGGTGGGAGAGAAGAGGTCAGAGTTTGTATTAGTGTTTTTAAATTTCTTGAATTGTGTAACCCTAACAGAATATTATTCTGATTAAAATAGTAGTGAGTTAGTAAGCTTTGAGTTACAGAACATTTTAATGAACACTTCCCTTTTGCTTATGTTTTCTTCCTCTTGCAGCAATTCAGAATCGTAACCCTGTGTGGTACCAAGCTTTGACACAGGGCCTTAATGAAGAACAAAGAAAACAATTGCAGGACATAGCAACTCTGGCAGATCAGAGGCGGGCAGCACATGGTATTTTTCCCCCTTTATACCATTAATGCTTCTTTTGCTGTTTGAATGCTGGTTTTGTGCTCAAGAAGCATAATACAGAAAATGCCTATAATTCAAGCCTGATAATGTCTTCATCAAAACATGGTCGGTTTACACTCCAGAGATGTTTGAAATCTCTTAAGATTGTCAGGTCACAAAGCCTTAATGCACAAATTGTATGGTGTATCACAGGTGTAAGGAATGATAGAAATGTCTTAAGTGGCCAAGACGTTTAACCACTTAACTCTGAAGTGGCCAAGTACATAAAAGCATATTTGTCATAATTGCTTGGATTTGAAAACAATTGATTTGATTACCTGAAGTTGGATGAACTCTAGGTATGGTAACAAACACATTAAGTGGCTGATGAATTATTTCCTGATGTGACCTAGTCCAGCTGGGATAGACTGAGTCTATGGGTGGGAAAATACCAAATTATGGAAGTAGTATCCATCTGTAAAGCTACATCATTAAGCCTATTAAATATTTCAGATTGTTACTCTTCAATGCAGATCATACAGATTTAAAAATATAGGAAATGGCCGTATCTTCAGGTTTTTGTGTTGGTTCCCCCCCCCGCCAAGTTTTCTCAGGTGTTTGATAGTAAGCCAATACAGATCACTCTAAAGGGTGAATTTTGAGTGTCCGTCCAGTTTCATATCCTCCATCTTAACTGAGCAATTACTACAAAATGTTTCAAAATAGAATTTCAGAAATCTTCAGTAAAAAGATTGGTAGTAAGAATGCACATTTTGTAAGTAGTTTTTGTCAGAAAACAGCCTAAATTATCCCACAAAGCTTGTAAGTGTCCAGAATGATCCACTTTTAATGGTTATAAAATACAGTTTCACTGTGACCCCTGTCATGCACTAGACATCATACTGATGAGATTATATATGACTTGTGCATTTTATGAAAAAGAATGTTGTTGGGGTTTTTTGTTTGTTTTTTTTTTTTTCTCCAGCTGTGTATTCATAGAGCAAGTTAGGTTCAGATTGTGAAGTTTAACTTCAGCAACTAGATCTTTACAGGAAATTCTTACATACTATCAGAGCATACTGATACTCTGGCTACCTGCCACACATGGGGACATCCTGCTAGGAGGATCTGGAATATAATTATCTCTCATTAGTGTAGCTAAGAAGAATTTCCATAAGCTAAGAGATTTGTCTTCTGTGCACTATGGAGCCAGGAGGGAACAAAGCGATGCTCCCCAGGTCATGTTCTCCCCCTGTCCTTCATCAGCCACGGCAACTTTTTTCTGGCCTGTTTCCAAAGAAACAGAGACAAAATGCAGATGCTCTAGATAATACGAGCTGTCCTGTATTCCCAGAGAGAGATTGCAACTATTTTGAGGTAGGTGAAAGCTCTTAGACTGGAAATCAGACATTGATAAGCATTGTTATCTTGAGCTGGGAGTAATATAAACCTTCTTCTGCATTATCTAGATTGTAGTAAACATAGAAATACACATTTCTATCTGCTCTTTACCAACCTAATTTTCAGTTGTCCATGTATTAGAGCTTGTAAAAAACAGTCTTACAAAGGACTAGTATAATTGTTAGTTACATTGATGGATATGTGGACCTCAGATGCCTAGAGATGTTAAGGTTTGGTTGCAAATGAAAAGTGATAAACTTGGTAGTTTTCTCTTAAGAATTTTATTATATGGTCTAGTAACCTAAACTCCAAATTATCTGGTTGGGTATGGGGGGGAAATGTGTGTATACTAAAAAGTCTGCTTCTGGTGCTCCAGTGGCTATTTCTGCTTATATTGTTGAATTGAGATAGGAACACTGAAAAGGTAGCTAATATCTGTGTGCTGCTTTTTTGCACATGTGCTCTTATTTTTGACAGAAAAGTCTATTAATGTTAATCAGAAAGAATTTGGGTGCCTATTAGCTAGTTCAGAAGTCCAGCATTCATTCAGGTCCTGTTTCTGAAGTGTGAAAATTATGTGCTCTTGTCCAAAAACTAAAGTGTGGGCTTTTTAAAATATAAATTAATTTAAGCATAGCTATAAAAATATTGAGACATTTAAATAAATAAATAATCAGTCCATCTGTTTGGGGCCTGGCACATTTCCACTGTGTGGGTGCCGATTACTTTCTTGGGTAACCCCAGGTTAAACCTGTATCTCTGGGAGACTCAAAATGGTCAGTCACATCATCTTAATCTGTCTTCCCCCCTACACATGCACTAAAATATCTTCCTTCTGTTTTTTTGTTTTGTTTTAGAATCCAAAATGATTGAAAAGCACGGAGGATACAAATTCAATGCTCCAGTTGTGCCAACTTCATTTAATTTTGGAGGCCCTGCCCCAGGAATGAATTGAATTATCACTTTACTGCTACTGTGTGATTGTAGTGAAGAGCTTGTGTTCCTCCCAATAGTGGTTCCAGAACTGGTTCATGTTATCTACAACTCACTCTAAACTAATTGATAAACAGATTGGACAAAAGCCCCAGAAGTGGGACCTGATCATACAACCTAATACTGGAAAGCAAACCAGAGGTTTTTTTTGAAGATAGGAAGAATCTGAATTTAAAGCTTCAAATGACACATTTTGGAAATCGGAAATCAAGAGGGGATGTCATGAAGGCAGCTTTTCTTTTTCTGAGGAAAAAAATAGGCATGGGCTGCAGGACTATTTAAAATGTCTCATTTACAGGACAAGCTAGAAGGCAGACTTAATTTTTACACCTGTGGCGGTATGAGTATTTGCCCAATTTATTTCCCTTTCCTCCCTTCCTATTGGGTGTCTATTCTTTTAATGTAAATAAGATAAGGTAATCAGATAGCCTTACTTAATCTTCATCATTTCCATTTATCAAGATTGTTCATATGTAGAATATTGGACACTTAATGTAGCACTACATAACTGGTAAATCTGTAAATGAATTAGCACTTTCATATTGAAACAAGCCTGCTAGCCTATGTACAAAAATAGCAAAATGTTTGCTGTTTATAAAAAATAAAAATAAAAAATAAGGGATGTATTGGGGAAAATAATTTCAAGTTATTAATTTAAAATGAACTAGCAGTTTTGTACCTGGTGACTTTGTGGTGCAGTCACCTCTGGTTGTGACTTGAATTCGGTTATGTAAAAAGGGGTTAGTGATATTTCATTGCTGCTAAAAAAAAACAAAACCAACACCCTCTGTGTCCTTTGTTTTTCTTAAAGATCTCACTGTACAAGGTGAAATTTGGATAGAAATGTGTACTGTAAGCACTGAGGAAAAAGTTGTCTTCTCTAAAGCAGGTAAATAAGATGTGAAGTTCTGCTCTCAAGAGTTGACTGAAGTGTGTGGATGAAACCTCTATATATGCAATCTATGAAAAACACAGCAATTTAATTTGGCTAATCTGGGCTATGATCTATGAATGCAATTTTACCCCTTCATTTTGCAAAATAATCTTTTTCCAGCACATGGTAGTGCAGGTGCACTACTCCTGCATTTCATTCCCCCTCTTTTTGCACTCCCAGCATTAGCGTGTGCTGTCGTCTGCCTGATCCAGACAGTGTATTTGAAGTTTTGCCAATCTTTCTTTTTTGAAGCCACAATTCTCTTCCTTCAAAGTTGCTATAGTAACTAGTATTTTAGCTAGAGAGGCAAAATACAGTTCCCTCTGGGACCACTATCAAAACCACTGTATGAAGAAGCCAGCAGGGAGATGCTGTGAATGGGTTGGCTTAAATGCCCCCCTTTTCTTTTCTAAAAGCAAAAATCCATAGGTTTTTGATCTTGCCTTGAGATCATTGGTGTCAGGTCTTTTAAATCAAATGTTGTTTTTTTTTCTTTTGGCTGTTTTTATATAAAAATGTCACCTGCTGTTACAATTGATATTAAACAAGCTACCTTAATTTAATGTAAGCCTCCAACATTTAAATACAGGTTAAAAATAAACTGAGTTTATATCTGTAAAAATGAAATGCACATATATATATTATGATACTCAAAATGCAGTCTTCAGAAAATTGGTTTGTGTGGTGTGTTTTTTTGCATCAGCAGAGTAGCAGGAATTCATGGTTTGGGGTTTCCTTGATGAGCTGACCAGCACCACGCTCTGCCTTCCATTTGTTGCACAACTGCTAGCGCTTCTCTGGGCAGGTGTAATGGGTTTTTCCAGTCACCCCTCTCTGGTCTGCCTTCCTTCGGCAAATACAGTTCCCTGCACGCAGAGTGCTAATGTGAGAGACTGAGCCAGGACTATAATGCCATATTGCCCTAGCCGAATACCAAAGGGATACTTTAAAAGCAAAGGATGGATACTGCACCTGATGTGAAAAAGCCTAAAACGTGAAGCCTTGAATCAGAGTATCCATTACAGTAGTGGTACAAGAACCAGTACTTGTACTGGTAGTACTTTGGAATCTTCAGCTGACTGGCCAAGTACAGAACTGGGGTTTTTTTGTAAATGTGTAACTCATGAGCACGTACACATGTACTCCGGCCTCAAGATAATCTCTAGACAAGGTTTTATTTTTGTAGAAAAAGGTGACAGACATAATGACAGCATGCCTCTTCCTGTGCATTCCTTGACCTTGAAAAATGCCCGGTTTGACATAAAACATTTCTGAACATCTGCTTGCTGGGTACCTGCTTATCTTGTTATGCATCCCAAAAAATGTAAGAGAACGTTTTAGGACAGATGAGATGCTTTTGCCCTGTGGCAGAAGATACAGTAGAGCAGGAGAAGGCTCTATATACAAAGCAGATGAAAAAAATTAGGGGAAAATCACCAACTTAGTGCCATTGCCATTTCTGGAACAGTTTTGTTTTTCAAGTCACAAGTCAAGGGAAGAATTTTATCTTGGTGTGAGGAATACAGTCTTACTTCAAGGGTGCTTTTATGTGTCGCTAGACTGGTTAGCAAGGAGCATCTTTTTTAAGAATGGATCTAGAACTTTGCTTTCCTTTGCTCCAAGAAATGTATTTATATAAATTGCAAAACAATTTTGCATTGTTGTTGGTGGTGATAGTGCATTTTGTGATGCAATATATCAATTTCAGTGATACACTTATGTCAAATTTAAAATTGATCTTCCTCCTGGAACTTGCACTTATCCATTCCATTTTCAAGGATAATGCAACTCTAAAGGAAGAGCTGGGAAATTTAAAGCCTCTGTTTTTTCTATTATGGAAGATCTCCTTGGATTAATAAACATCTAAAGCAAATCCTTATCTTCACTTATTTCAGTGTGGTGTTTTGAATGTAGCTGTATTCTTGCAGTAGTTGTGAGTCCTGTTCTAGTTATGTACCTCTTTCTATTTTCCTCTCGAAAATATTTCTTCGAGCAGAAATGTTAGGCGCAGTTCTCTTAACTGTGTCAAATACAAAAGGCTTATGTCATACACTTATTTTTTTACAATGTTGACATATGGGGTAAATTTAATACCCTTTCTCCCTAAATCACTACCTTAAAAGAATTGTTAATAGGTGTCAGCGTAGTACAGCAGTGCTCTGTTCAAATTTCTTGGGGCCTAGAATTACTACTGCAAGAATCAAGAAGTCTGCAGTGGATTAATTACAGAATACCCGACAATAAACATGTAGATGGTTTTAATTCTGCCTAGTAATTGATACCTGATAAGTTTTTATGGGTTAAGTTGTATTTTTCTAAAGGAAATCTCCTCTTGCAACTATCAGTTCTCAAAGAGTAGAAACATCACGAAGCTTCTCAGCGCATTTTATCTTTGCCCGTTTCTGTCAAGTTCCCTTTCGGTCCTTCCTCATACGCACTTTCTCGTTTCACATCCTGGGCCTGAATTTGTTCCCCTGTAACTCTGTTGAGAGGCTTCTCAGAAACTGCAAGCTCTTCATACTTAAGCAGTTCCTCCTCTAGGCAGTCGTACCCCTGCTGACGCTGTGTGTGTGCGTCCGTTCCACACCAAGATACACAGCTGCATCCTTCTCTGGAGTTTCAGCAATGGGACTGATGCTTGCTGATGTATATATATGGCATAGGACTGCTTCTATGGCAGAAGTGGGCATTTGGGGTATTTTAGAAAGTATAGTTGGGAAGAGAGCTACAGTTCTGCATTTCCACTCAATCCACTATTCAAGTTTTAACCTGAATGCAGTAGTAAAAAAAAAAAAAAAGTTTTTCAAAATCTGAGAAAAACTTGGAAGGTCCAAGGCTCTATTATACTGTTATGGACTATAAAAGCCAGATTTGAGTTCTCTGAGCTGGGTTTTCTCTTCCCTGTGCTCTGTGGGACCTTCCACAGCACCAGGAATGTGGAAAAGCTTAATTTGTCTGGTGGTGTGGCACTGATTATAAATTACTTTGCAATCAATATGTACTGTATTTAACTTAAAATGGGGTGTCACTGGTTTGCATATTTCTACTTTTCATAATCGTTCTCAGATGTTGATGCTTGAAACAGAAAGCACTTCAGAGTGGGGAATACCATGGGATTTGCAGAGATGTTAACAAGTAATCTATTAACATAAAGGGGGTCATAAAACCCAAATGGAACTTTATCTTGGGTATTTCACTGTTAGTGTACCTCCAATCAAACTGACAGCTGTAATTTGTATTTTGGGTGAGTTTCCAATTAAGGACAGGAAGGAAAACTTGAAACTAAGAAAGGAAAATTGCACTGTATTAGGCCTATGCAGGAATAAGCTATTTTTGGCTGGCTGTATGACTGCAAGGATTTAGAACTATTATTCTAGAGTTTCAGGCAAAAAAATCTTAAATGCTTTTCTAAGTCATGTTTGGAAAGGTCAAGTAAGCCCTACAGAGCTTGAGGTCTGTCAGTGGTGATAGCACACATTAATTGCACAGCTGTGCAATTTTTTTCTTGAAAAATCGTCTACCAAAATAACTGCAACACCCTTTAATTGCCTGCGGAGCTGCTATGGGACCAGTGTTTCCATACCAAAAAAATCACTTGAGGATAAATATTCTCAAGCATAGCCTTAAGAACAGAGTCCTTACCCACAAGAGCTGGGCTGAAGGTAACGAAGCTGGGGAAGGGTAGGGTGCTCGCTCCCTCCAGCCCTGTCCCGAGCGGCCTCTCCGCAAGGGCACCGCGCCCCGGCACCCTTCCAGCGGCCTCCCTCC